CCCCCCCCCATGGGGTGTTTGGTTTTTTTTTTTTTTGGGGGAGGGAGGGGGGGAGGGGGGAGGGGACAGCTGTTCAGGATTCAGGCACAACTTCTCTCATATTTATCTTAAAACCCCGTTAAACTTTAATATTTTACATTTTTACTACGCTTGTTTAACTCCGAACACTCATTGATGTGTAATGATGATATTTTGGAAGTGAACAGTCTTGGGCCAACTTAAATGGGGAAAGATTATTGACAAAACCTTTGGTAAGATCTAATTACTTAAAGGAGGATACTGGAATACTTTTCAACTATGTTGTGACTATGCTTTTCCTGAGCCGAGGGTCTATCAGAAACAACCTTTCTACCTCCACAAGATAGTCTGCGTACACACTACCCTCCCCAGACCCTACTTGTGGGATTACACTAGGTTTGTTGTTGTTGTAGGATACTGGAATATTTGCAACTGTCTCCGACTCGAATATGTTATATAACCAGTTTTACTATACTTCTCCGTTCATTTTAGCTAACTTCACAATCATGTTCTCTTGAATCTAACAGCTAAACCAAATGAACATTTCTATTTCAAGGCTGTTTGAAGCAAGTTGAAACCAAGCCAAAGTACCAGCCATGTCTCCAGAATATGCCTCCAATCTGGAACAGAAGGGGCACAGATTTCTTGAACTACTTTGTTATGCATTAGCATGAGCAAGAAAGTAGACAAGAGGAAACTACAAAGACGAGTTTAACTCAAATGGTCCTACAAGTTTGGGGGTACGTTTAGCTTTGTCCTTATATTATGATCGTGAGCATATCTAACCCCTTAAGTTTAGTAGCTGTGAGACATGTCCTACAAGTCTATAGCCTATACTTCTTGCTTTGATAGCAATTGTTGGTCGCTTGCTTAAATTTAAAAAAAACTGAGTGCTTCTGCTATCAGTTAACAAGCTCCATTAAATATGACAAAGTGGTCCGACGCTGCTCATGGTTCCTTCTATAACCACCTCCCTGCTTCAGCAATTATCCCTCATTCTCACACCTGTCTACGAAACGAGCCAGTAATGACAGGACAAAATTGTCGTATGAAATGACCCAGCACTCTGTTAAACACCCGCTATTGTTTTCCAACCTTACTGGCCATTAAATGGTACGTGCTCTCTCTGCATTCAAGTTAAGTTTCCGCACTTGCAATGCATGGACCAAGAAGCACAGGAGTTATGAAAGAGGTCAGGAGGGAGCTAGGAGTTATCAGGAAATTTTCAGAACTATTTCTGAATAAAGCTCTAAATGCTTAAAAGAATGGGGGTGCAGGTGAAGGAACTGGTTAGACTAAGCAACTGAAACAAAAATCAAGCGGAGAAAGAGAGAGAATTTTTATACAAACACATAAGAAATATATATACACAGAGAAAAGAATGGTTGAAAGGACGCCCGAAGGAGGATAAAATATAGGAAGAGTAAGGAGAATCATCATACTACTTTAATCGATCAGTGAAACTTCAATTCTGAATATCATGCCTATTGATTTCGCGTAATCCCTATCGACTCACTTATCAGGTTCTTCCTTTCCGTGCCCCTTACCTCAGCTTAATTATTATGTGAAGATTCTTCATCTGGTTTTGGAGCAAGCACATGCTTTATGCTGAGTATTCACGACATATACTTATTTTCGCTTAAATTTTTTAACACTTGCCTATTATTTTAGTATAATGGTCTGATATTCAATAGATTGTTCTTTATCATCTTATCTCTCTTTCTCTCACTCTCACTCTCTCTCTCTCTCTCTCTCTCTTGTTATATTCATGGGTTAAGGATCGTGTCACTGGGCGATTAACAGGAAAATCCTCTTCCTATAACGAGGTCTTTTTCTTATTTTTATTTCTTCCCTTTGAATGACCTATGGTGACAGATCTGTGGGGCTCGTCAAAGGGAGCTCTAACCTTAAGACTCATTGAGAGAGAGAGTCTCGCACCTCTAGAGTTTAAAAGAAAATTTTGTGTGTCTTTATTTCTAGCATTACTGCTCTTTAAATAGAGCTTACAGATAAAATAGGAAAACTTGTCCAAGTAGGAAACCTAATTGAAATAGAATTAAAAACCTAACATAATACCATAACTGGAAATAAAAGCTAATAAAAATAAAATAGCATAATTAATGTTGCTGTTGAATGGTTCCACGCAATAAAGGCATCCGTAACATCTCTCCTCCTGGAGAAAGAGCTTGTCCTCAAGCTTGTAATGTGGAAAAGCATCACGAAACTGAACCAGATCTCCCCATGTAGCATCATCAGCTGAAAATCCACACCATTGAACAAGAATCTCCCAATTTCCACGATTGAGTCTAGATGGCAGAATGGTGTCTGGAACAAACACTACCTTGCCATCTTCCAGAGGGGGGTAATGTAGGCTGACCGGTAGGAACTTCTCCCAAGGTTTGAGAAGGGAGACATGAAAGACATCATGAAGCTTGCAATCTGGTGGTAAAGCTAGTTGATAAGCAACTTGACCAATTTTGCGCACCACTGAAAAAGGACCATAAAACTTAGGAGCAAGCTTATGGTGTTTATGGCCAGCAAGAGAGCGTTGTGGATAAGGATGCAACCGTAACCAGACCAATGAACCCCGTAAACTTGACATCGCGATGACCCTTGTCATAAACCTCTTTCATGCGTTGTTGGGCCTGTTGAAGTCTGCTGCGAATTTCTTGCAGAACTAGATCCCGGTCAATCAAGGCTTGATCCACAACATCTACTCGAGATGATCCTGCAACATAGGAAAGCAGATGAGGTGAATCACGCCCATAGACAACCTGAAAAGGTGAAGCACGCAATGCAGTATGATAGGAAGTGTTATAACAGGATTCTGCCCAGGAAATCCAGTTCACCCATTGCTTCGGTTGTCCTCCCACAAAGCAACGCAAGTACATCTCAACTGTGCGGTTAACAACCTCTGTTTGCCCATCACTTTGCGGATGGTAGGCTGAGGAAAAAGCTAGTTTGGTGCCGCACAATCGAAAAAGCTCTTTCCAAAAGTAACTAGTAAAAAGAGCATCACGATCTGAGACAGTAGATTCAGGTAGGCCGTGTAAACACCCAACTTGGTTGAAGAAGAGACCAGCAACACTAGCAGCAGTATAAGGATGTACTAGATGAAGGAAATGAGCATACTTAGAGAAACGGTCGACTACTACCAGAAGAGCTGATTTTCCTAATGATTTTGGCAAGCTATCAATGAAATCCATAGAAATGTCAGCCCAAATTTATGTTGGCAGTTTCAACGGTTGAAGCAAGTCGGCTGGAGTTAAGTGTGTACAGCCTTGTTGCGTTGGCACACTTGGCGGGCAGCAATATAGTCCTGAATAGTGGACTTCATACCCTCCCATAAAAAATCTTTACGCAATCTTTGCATTGTTTTCTGAACACCTTCATGAGTGCTATCATGAATTCCAGATACCACAGAAGTTATTAGGGGAGATTCTGTAGGCAAATAAATTCGGTCTTTGTAAAAAATAAGGCTGTCTCGCATAGACCAATCTTTACCAAATTCTTGGCGCTCTATCGTGGCGCAATTTCTTTGAGAGCTGCAGAATGTTGAGTTTCAACTCGCAGCTCGTCAATCAATACAACTCGTGGCTGTGAGATGGCGAATAGCATTCCTTCATCTGTATCACGCCGAGATAAAGCATCTGCAGCTACATTTGATTTTTCAGCCTTATACTCAACTCGAAAAGTAAAGCCCATGAGTTTACTGATCCAGTGTTGTTGTGGGGATGTGGTGAGACGTTATTCCAGCAAATATTTGAGGCTATAATGATATGTGCGGATGAGAAACTGCTGCCCCACAAATAAGGTCGCCAATGTTGAACAGCTTTAGCCAATCCTATTAGTTCCCTCTCATAAGCAGGCAATTTAAAATGCCGATCAGCCAATTTTTTACTAAAAAATGTAATAGGATGACCCCTCTGTTGTAGAACAGCCCCAATTCCCACACCTGAAGCATCACATTCCACCATGAACTCCTCATCGAAATCAGGCAATTGCAAAACCGGGGCAGCCACTAGAGCATGTTTTAGAGCAGTAAAGGAGGCTAGGGCTGCCTCTGTCCAATTAAAAGAATTCTGTTTGAGCATGCTTGTGAGGGGAGCTGTAATTTGTCCATAGTCACAAATAAATTTCCGGTAATAGCCTGTTAGTCCTAAAAAAAACCTCACGGCAGTGATAGATCGAGGCTGGGGCCAATTGTCAACTGCCCTAATTTTGCTTGTGTCTACAGATACACCTATTGCTGAAACTACATGACCAAGATAGGCCACTTGATTTTCTCCAAAAGAATACTTGGACCTTTTTAAACAGAAGTGATGAGCTCGTAGTAACTCAAAAACAGTTCTAATATGACTCAAATGCTCTTCCCAAGACTTGCTATAGAGTAAGATATCATCAAAAAATACTAGGACAAACAAACACAGACACTTACGAAATACCTCGTTCATCAATGCTTGAAAAGTGGATGGAGCATTTGTTAAACCAAATGGCATTACTAGGAACTCAAAGTGCCCATGGTGAGTCCGAAAAGCGGTCTTCTCTATATCACTGGGATGCATGCGGACTTGGTGATAACCTGATTTAAGATCCAGCTTGGTAAAGAACCGAGTTCCATGTAGTCCATCCAACAATTCATCAACTACTGGAATAGGAAATTTATCCTTAATTGTTATGGTATTAAGTTCTCTGTAATCCACACAAAAATGCCATGTTCCATCTTGCTTGCAAACTAATAGCACCGGTGAGGAAAAAGGTGATTGGCTTGGCCGAATAATGCCTTGCTGCAACATCTGGTCACATTGCCTTTCTATCTCGTCTTTTTGTGAGTGAGGATACCGGTAAGTTCTGACCACTACGGGCCCTGTTCCGGGTTAGAGGCAAATTCTGTGATCACAAGTGCAAAGAGGTGGCAGCCCCACTGGATCATGAAACAAATCATTGAGTTCTGGCAATAAATCATCTAGTTGGTTTTATTGTTCAGATGGTGCTTAAATAAGATGTAGTTGTGGCTCATCCGGTTGCCTTTGCCATTGTAAGGTGACTGAATTTCCAGCTAGTTTAAAAGTCATCGTAAGAGAGACAAAATCCCATAGTATAGGTCCTAATATTTGTAGCAACTTAATTCCTAAAACAAAATCAAAGCCACCCAGAGGAATTATATAAAAATCAGCCACAAAAAAGTTGTCAGCAACAGAAAACTGAACTCGTTGACAAATTCCAGTGCTAGGAACCTTCTCTCCATTTGCCACCGAGACACACAAATTTGACTTAGGTAGGATTTGCAGCCCTAGATGTTGAGCTACTATATCACTTATGAAATTATGGGTACTTCCAGAATCGACCAAACTCAGTAATGTTTAACCCTTCATTATAGCTTGTAGTTGCATGGTTTTAGCATTTTGCTTCCCTGTTATGGCGTGCAGGGATATTTCTGGCTCGTCAGCGGCTTCTTGTGTCATGGTTTCTTCATCACTAATTTCTAACCAAAATAATTTTTTACATTGATGTCCAGGTTCATATTGTTCATCACAATTATAGCACAAACCCTTTGCCCGTCTTTCTGCCATCTCGACTCGTGACAACCTTTTAATAAATGGCGATTTCACACTGTTGGTACTGGAATTTGCTGATGTAAAATTTCCTTGGCCAGAGTTAATCTTCGAGTTTGCAATTGATCCAATGTTGGTCTTTGAACTCATACCAAAAGATGTTCCACAACTTCGACGGAGGCTGGTAGTAAGTTGTTGCCTTTTCTCATATGCACGTGCCAGATTCATCGCTTGGGCCAAATTTGGAGGACTTAACATCTCTACATCTAGATGAATTGGATCTCTTAATCGTGCTGTAAATAGGTCGACCTGTTGATCTGCCCGCACCGTACAAGCACGTGCTAGCATCCCCTGGAATTGGCGTTGATATTCTTCCATCCCTGTTTGTTTAAGATTCACCAACTCCCCCAATGGGTTGCCGCGTAAAGGTGGCCCAAATCTGAGAGTACAATAGTCTTTAAATGTTTCCCACATGAGTGTTGGTTCTTCCTGTTCCAATTTGAAATACCGGAGTTGAGCCTCGCCCAACATGTGAAAAGGTGCCAAACCAACCTTATCCAACTCCGCAGTGTGTTGATTGGCAAAGAACTTCTCACAATGGTGGAGCCATATCAGCGGATCGCTAGAACCATCAAAGGTGGGGAAATCAAGCTTGGTATATCGTGGTACAATTCTGCCTCCCGTTCGTAATTCTGGTCTCTCTATCTATTCTGGTATTTCGATTGCCAATAGCACTACTGCCTGCTAAGCCATCATCAGTTTCTTTGTTGCGGCTTCTGTTGGACCTGCTTATTAGTTCCTCCAGTTGTTGCGATACTTGTTGTAACCGAGCTTCCATTCGCGATTCAATTGCAGCAATTCTTAATTCATTCGCTTGCTGAATTTCTTGTAAAAGAACTCTTAATTCGCTGCTATCGCCCATAGTGTTTAGTGTTTGGCTCTGATACCAATTTGTTATATTCACGGGTTAAGGATCGTGTCACTGGACGATTAACAAAAAAATCCTCTTCCAGTAACAAGGTCTTTTTTTTGTTTTTATTTCTTCCCTTTGAACGACCTATGGTGACAGATCTGTGGGGCTCGTCAAAGGGAGCTCCAACCTTAAGACTCGTGGAGAGAGAGTCTCTCACCTCTAGAGTTTAAAAGAAAATTCTGCGTGTCTTTATTTCTAGCATTACTGCTCTTTAAATAGAGCTTACAGATAAAATAGGAAAACTTTTCCAAGTAGGAAACCTAATTGAAATTTGAAATAGAATTAAAAGCCTAACATAATACCATATCTGGAAATAAAAGCTAATACAAATAAAATAGCATAATTAATGTTGCTGCTGAATGGTTCCACGCCTTTTATACTGTTTTCCAATAAAGGCATCTGTAATATCTCTCTTAATGTTTTCATGTATAGTGATTTTTATAATGGTTCCAATATCCTTGAAAAAGACAGTTGTCCTGCAGCCAAGGTTAGTTAGGTGCTGTTTTTATTGGATTCTACATGCAATTTTGCATCCGCAGTTGAATTGCAGAATTAACAAGACGTTAAAATAACGAAGCACAACAACTATTCCATCGCATTTACAGAGTTTGTTAATGGACCGAAAGTTCTCAAATATGCTCAGAGTTGTATTATATTTATGGAAACAAATCTTCTCCCAAACTTAAGGGACCATTCGATCAGGAACTCTCATAAGAACTGGCCAAGCAATTCCTAGTGTCAGTTAACATGCTGTTGACAGGTATGACCAGACTAGCATTCCATTAAGCTATGCCCTAAGACAGGCCAAAGGTCTCATCTCTAACCTATTAAGGACCACCAAACCTTTAAATATAACTTTCAACAATCTCAGTGTAAACTACCACGTAAAGGAAGCAATAAGACAATTCGAGGGAAAACAAACAGCTCGGGAATAAAGTTCCAGCACTTGAACAAGCAACAATGGATAAAAAAGCTGACAACATGTTCACACATGGGTTCTCGTGTAATAGCCAAATATTCCAACAATGGGGCAGTCTTGTACCTGTATGAGGATGATATTTGCACCCTTCTGATGAGCAGCTCTAACCAATCTGTATCAAAGCCATAATCTTAGAGCCACAATATGTAAGGACCTGTTTGGTTTTGATGTATAAGATGAAATCATGGTATAAAATTTGGTACTGCTTTATCCGGTGTTTGGTTGTATTTTGAATCTTGCGTAGCTAATCTTAGTATACTTTTACTACAACAATTGGTGTATTATTTCCCGCCTTTAGCATGGTATAACAATACAAGGATTAAACACTAAACAGCAAAATTAGCCTAATGTCTTTTCCTCAAACCCATCATTAACACCCTATATAACCCCCATTTTTAGTACAAATAACCAAAGGCCCCATTTTCAAAATAATCTCTGCATTAAAATTCCTGCACCACTGGTTTATAAACCAAACGACCCCTAAATGTCATCAAAATAATTCCCCTTTTGCAAATCTAAAGACTACATATTTGCTCAATGATACCAAATCCAATTCCCTTACCAGTGAGCTACAAAATTAACCTCTAGTTTTTTTTAAAAAAAAAACAACAACTGTGATTGACATATGAGGACACAACAAAAGTCTTCAACTTTTTAGAAATCCTAATCGTATTTCTACTGAAATTGAAAAAGATAACCAAAACTGGCCATATAAGTAATTAAATACGTATGTGCAAAAGGGGCTATGAAAGAAAGAGGAAAAAAACCTCTCGGCAGTGTCGACGTTGGTGGAGACATCGTCGGTACAGGCAAACTGCAGAGCAGCAACAGTTACCAATCGCTTCTTCTCCGCCATTTTTCGCAGTGTGTGAGATTCTGCTAAAGGGAGTGAAACAATTGACATGCTTCTCCAATTATACAATTATAGTAAAGTGAAATGGAGAATATTTAAAAGCAAAGGCGGTAGGTGTGTGTGAATTGTTTATTTTATTAGAAAGGATTCTCTCGTAATGAAAATTAAAAACGTTCTTTTGTTCACATGTTTTGATTCCAAAATCTGCACTCCAACAACTTTGTCGAAGGAAATTTCTGTCATATTTTAAATTTGAAATTTAGAATTGTAGAAATATTTTATTTTATTTTTAGTAATATGCTTTATTATGAAGAATGACCCGTTAAACATCACAAGAATTTAAGAATACTTCGGTATATTGTGTTAAAATTCTTTTTTCTACAGCTATTCTTTGTTCTGTTACTTCTCATTTACAGTAAACAAGGATATTTTCATGATGTAATTCTATTTTGGTTTTGATTATTTTAATAAATATTTCTTGCCTTTAGAACAAATATTCTTTTTTTCCTTGCTAATATTGACCTCAATTATATATACAATCTCATATAAAAGGATAGAACTCTTTCCTCTAAAATATCTAGTACAATAAATTCAATGTTTGTACGTACAATACTTTTTATTTGATGCTAGGATAATTCCTTGTACATCACCTCCACCAATAACTCCAGACGACAAAGCTTTATGTATATCTGCTCTTTCATTAATCAAGTAATAGCTCTATAATTTACAAAGTAACTTTAAAGGAGCTATAATAACAATACTTTTTCGACAAAACAGCATTGTTAAGTTGATAAAAAATGTAGGATTTTGAATATCGTATCTTCTTACGAAGGGAAAAGAGAGCCAAAGAAATAAACTATTAGGCATAGGCATGTTCTCCTTTCTTCGGATCAATTGATTTTGTGGTCCATTACAAACTTTTTTTTAGTTTTATGACCTCATCTCTTTTTTTGCACATGGGAGATTTGCTTTTACACATGAGAAATCTATCTTTTACACATAAAAGATCTAAAAAAGATATTTTCTTAAATTCAACATTGTAAAAAGCCACGAGCCTAAAACCCCCCTTTCGTCGGGTTTGGCGAGGGTATAATCGTATGGAATCATGTTTTTTAACTATTAGGATATTAATAGCTATATTTGTCTAGTATAGGTAGGTACTTTTGTCGATGTTTGCTAATTAAAATGTTTTAAGGATTTAATTTGAAAGGAAAAAGAGAGCAAGATGAATATAATATGGAAACAAAATATCGCGATATCATTGTTTAGAGAAAATCCACATTCCTTGCTATCAAACATTAGTCACTATTTTGAAAGCTTTTTGACACGAAAATAGTTGTGAATAAAAATACTTTAACGGCTCAATTCAAGCTCCATGAATCATTTTTGAAGTTCCAGAAACAATTCATGGAATTTAAATTTTTATTAGTTCGAACTCCAGAAAATGAAAGGAGAGAATATATGTGAAAACACTCAAAAGAGTTGCGCTGAATTTGAATAAAGAAACCACAACTATCATCATCTCTGACCTCTGTACTCGTGACACAAGTCCAACCATACCAATTAATTTTCACAATTTGGAATTCAGAAGCGTTGAAGTTAGGGTTCCGTCGAGCCATCGGGATTGTTCTTTTCGGAGAGCGTTGAGCGCTACCGGAGTTTGCCGTCACGTCGCAACGTTGGCTTTCCAGTTCCGTCGCCGGCGAGAGAAAGAAAACAGGTGAAGCAACCAAATTTGATTTGAATGCTCTCAATTTTCTAAAATTACCTTTACTATAATTTTTGTGGTATTCACTGCTGAAAAAAAATGGAATATAGAAATAATTAAGTCTGGAGACACATTTTCCTCTGACATATATTATTCTAATATTCAGTAGGAGTAGTTCATATTAGTCTGTTAAGTAGGGGTATTTTTTGATCAAATATTATTTTCGCATTAAAAAGTGACGACTGAAAATGAAAAGCTAGAAATAAAAACACAACCAAATGCATAAGGATCTTAATTTCTTAACACCATGCTCGAGAAAAATAGAAAGCTCTAAACGAAGTGTATGGTTGCAACTACCTTCCCTCAGTCCGCAGGAATTTCTCTTCAGTAAGTTATTGGGGGCATTGGAGGCATTTGAAGCACTAAGCTATTAAAAAGAAAAGAAGTACAAATATTAGCATCTTAACCATCAAATTACAGTTAAATTACAATCTTCACGCATATATTGGGATAATTATAAAGCTAAGTCTTAATAAAAAGTACTCAGTAATAAACAAGTTCAAAACCAATGGAGTATAAACTGCGGAAAATTTTATTTTGTCTCATATGAGGCATTTTTTTTGTCTTACAATTCTGTGGACCAGATATTTGTGGAACCAGAAGTATAAGATTGAGATCCACAATTTTGTGAGACAAAAAGAGCAGTTGTGTGAGGCACACGATAAACTTCTCTATTAACTACTAGTAGTGCAATGTTGCGCATCTTCCAAGGAGGAATAGAAATAAAATGAGCTATACGTCCTAATTTTTAGGAGAATGAACCCGAAAATTCAAGGTTATAACAGGGCCTCAATTTTGCCACCAGAACAACATTCCGTTGGAAATCATATATACAAGACATTTTGAAATATATTTCCAGCTCTTTCTTTGTTAAATCATTCCCAATGATACTGTAATAAAAGTTGGTGTATAAGTAGAATAACAAATGAAACAAAGTTACTGTATGAATTTGGTGTATAAGTGGAATAACAAATGAAACAAAGATACTGTATGAATTCAGTGCAATTCAGATAACTAAAAGCGATTTACGATAACAACATAACCGGTGTATTACCACAATGTGGAGTCTGGGAGGGTAATGTGTATGCAGACCTTACCCATACCTTGTAGAGGTAGAAAGGTTATTTCCGAAAGACCATCGGCTCAAAAAAATAATTCTCAGCAAGTTTGAACAAGAGAATAGTAAAGAAGAGACAATGTAGAAAATACTAAAGACAAGAACATAAATAACATCAAAATAACAAAGCAAAAGAAATTGAATACGAAGTACGAAAATGATAATACTAATATGGGAAAAAACGAAGCAAATATATTCTCATAAACTCGACTACTTATTAGTTTTCTACCCTAATCTTTGACCTCCATAACTTCCCATCTAGGGTCATGTCTTCGGTAAGTTGAAAACATACCATGTCCTGCCTAATTATTCTTCCCAATACTTCTTTGGCCTACCTCTGTATTTTTTTAGACCCACAATAGCCAAACATCTTGCACCTCCTCATCGGGGGATCTGTGCATCTTCTCTTTACATACCCGTACCATCTCAACCTCGGTTCCCTCATCTTGTCGTCCACGGAGGACATCCCACCTTGTCCCGAATAACTTTGTTCCTAATATGAAGAGATATGCCCACATATCTACCTCAGCATCCTTATTTCTGCTACTCTCATCTTTTGAGTATGAGAGTTCTTGACAGACCAGCACTCCGTCCCATACAACATAGTTGGTCTAACAAGCACTCTATAGAACTTATCTTTTAAGTCCTGGTGGCACCTTCTTATCGCACAAGACACCAGGAGCTTCCATTTCATCCACCCTGCTCTAATACGATGTGTAACATCATCATCAATCTCCCTATGTCATTAGATTATTGACCCCAAATACTTCAAATTTTCTCTCTTGTGGATGACTTGTGTATCAATCCTCATTTCAACATCTACCTCACGAGTTATGTTATTGAACCTGCACTCCAAATACTTCGTCTTAGTCTTACTCAACTCGAAGCCTTTAGACTATAGGGTATGTTCCAAATCTCCAACCTAATGTTAACCCTGTTGCGCGTCTCGTCAATCAATACTATATCATCTGCAAATAGCATACACCATGGCACCTCCCCTTGGATATGCCACGTCAATACCTCCATCACCAAGGCAAAGAGAAAAGGGCTAAGAGCCGATCCCTTGTGCAACCCCATCACTACTGGAAAGTACTTTGAGTCTCCTCCCACTGCTCTTACCCGGGTCTTGGCCTCATCGTACATGTCCTTAACCGCCCTAATACGCCACATGTACACCTCTTGCCTCCAAACATCTCCATAGAACCTCCATTGAACTTTGTTCTATTCTTTTTCTAGGTCAATAAACACCATATGTAAGTCATTCTTCCTCTCTCTATACTGCTCCGACAATCTCCTAACAAGATGAATGGCTTCTGTAGTAGATCGTCTCAGCATGAATCCGAATTGGTTCTCGAAAATAGACACCTCCTACCTTACCCGCATCTCTACCACCCTCTCCCAAATTTTCATCGTGTGGCTAAGTAGCTTGATACCCGTATAGTTGTTGCAATTTTTATCATCGCTATTTTCTTGTACAATAGAATCATTGTACCCTGCCTCCATTCTTGGGGCATTTTTGCCGTCCTAAAAATAACGTTATATAACCTAATGAGCCACTCCATACCTGCCTTGCCTGCGCTCTTCCAAAATTCCACTGGTATCTCGTTTGGTCCGGTCGCTCTTCCCCTTCTCATCTTACTCATAGCCCTTTTAACCTCCCCGAACTTAATACGCTTACAATACCCACAATCTCGACGCCTCTCGGCGTGTTCTAAATCACCCAACACAATATTCTTGTCCCCTCTTTATTCAAGAGTTTATGGGAAGTATGTCTTTCATCTTCGCTTAATGTGTACCTCCTTTACCAATACTTTGCCTTCCTCATCTTTGAAATATCAAATTAAAAAAACTTTGTACTAATACTCTCTCAACCATATTAAAAAACTTTTACTAAGAAAGGAGTGGAGACACTGGAGACTGGAGACTAAGCAATGTGCATCGAATTTTGGTGTCTGGAAACGGCCACAAGAGAAATGAAAGGATTAGAAGGTTTTAGGGTAGTTTGTTTAGTCAAAACATGTTCAGAATCTTTATTTATTTTAAAATTTGCCCCCTCTCCTCTCCCTTTTCTCCTCTTCTTTCAATTTAATCGATAGTTTTTTTAACACATTACACATTAGTCATGAAGTTGATCCAATCAGAACTCCAGAAGAAAGAAATACTCTTAAGACTCACAAAAAAACATGGTAATATGCTATACTTGTCAAAGCATGAAACATGGATGGTCTTACCTTGTCCGCAATTGTATGTATGGACATTTGTCACTTGGCTTCCAAAAGTGTCTTCTTGCTCTTGTCGAATCTGCTGTGCTGATGAGGCCAGGTGAATACAACAGTCATGTAACTCGATCAGCTGCAGTGTAAGAATATTTGAAAATTCTTGTGGGATCTCTTCTAGCCACAGGCAGTGGGATATAAAAAGTCTCTCAAGGACTGGAAAATGATCCTCAGTATCTTTCCACTCGGTGAAACAAAGCATATGACACAGTGACAAGAACTTTAATCAAGGAAACCCTCCTTCAGTGGGTTCCCATGTGGTCTCGGATTCAACTCCGCATGCGTCGTCTTCCAATTCGAGTGTCACGAGGTTAGGCAACATGCCAACAATGTCCATAGCCTCCCAAGGAAGACACGTCCCGCCTAATGTCAGCCTTCTAAGGGTTGGTGGAAAGGTACTTCGATATTTCAAAAACTTTTTACGTGCATTCAACTGGTACTGGGCAAAGATATTGTCATCCATTTTTCCAACTATAATTCTAAGTGTTTCTATTAGTGGCAAAGAGGAAACAGGTATCCACAATTCATGAGCAACTCTGTTCAACACGATTTCCAAGTTCTTCAAGTTAGGCATTAATGCAAAAATTTCCTTTTCACACCATGCAGGACCAACACCGGTTATAGTATGCAGGTGTTCTAAAACCGCATGCTCCTCTTCACCACTAGGCATAATCGGAGGACATAACCATCCTGACTTCATAAAGCGTAGAGTCCTTAACTGTGGCATCCTCCAAATGTTTAAAGGTATACTATCTGCCCAATTCTTTCCTATTTCAATGATCAGAATTTGCAAGTTTTGAAGGTTGAAAAGAGGGAGATATTCATGATTTCCAACGTACAAGGATAGATACCTTAGATGCACCAAATCAAATACTAAAGTTGGAATTTCACGGTGAAAGTATAACTTTCTCAAGTCAAATACTCTGATCATTTTGAAATTCTTGAATCCTAAACTTTCTCTTCCTGCATGTCTGCGTGCACCTTGATAGACAATAGTGCGTATTTTCTTTTGATCACAGCGATGAGAGTTTAACCAATAAAAAATGTTAATTGGGCGAACAATCATTAGACAGTCCCGTTTGGATGATAGGGAGACACGCGTGACGCTATTCCGTGGTTTACTATTTATAACAGGTAGGAGGTTCTCACTTCGAGCTTGTCTTAAGCATAACTCATATAAGAGGTCATGGATCTTACATGTTTCCACTTCTCCCCAAAAACTCTGCTCGCTTACAAGAACCAGATTCTGTCTATAAGTTCTTGCAAACATTTTTCACCTACGTTCTCCAAACTTTTATTATCAGCTTGCTTTAAAAGTCCTTCTGCAACCCATAGCTCCACTAATCTTCTCACATCAACCTCTTCATCTTCGGGAAAAATTCCAAAATATAGAAAACAGGCTTTTAGGTGTTGAGGTAGATAGTAGTAACTTAACACGAGGATCTTTTCACATTATCTACCAAGATCTTTAAATATTGCTGATTTTATATCATCTGCAACTCGCTCCCATCCATCTACTCCATTGTTGCATTTAGATAGAAGCCCAGCAACTATAGTAATGGTCAAGGGCATTCCATGACAATTTTCTGCAATTTTCTTACCAATTTTTACTAATTCTGGAGAGAGCTCTACTTACTCAAGAAGCTTCGATTGCAATAGTTCCCAACTTTTCTCCGGACTTAGAGAAGACATGTGATGAGGAGGCTTACCTGGAGCAGCATAACTGGCCACATTCCCGCACCTTGTGGTAAGTAGGATATGACTTCCTTTGCAATCTGGAAACCATAGACTTATTTCATCCCAAGCTTTGCTGCTCCATATATCGTCGATGACAACTAGGTACCTGCGTTTCCACAGCCTCTGTTTCAATTTGCCTGATAGCTCACCATCATCCCTTGCTTCACGGCGTACTTCCTCCGTTGATGGAATACAATGAAGAAGCTGCAGCAACATCTTTCTAACACAATATTCCTTTGACGCAGTCGCCCATGCTAGGATGTCAAAATGTGATTTAATTTCTGGATCATCATAAATTTTTCTAGCAAAGGTTGTCTTGCCTATGCCCCCCATACCTGTGATTGCCATAGTTTCTCTTTCATCAGATGAGATTTTCATGAGTTTACACTTTATATCCTCGAGTTCATTTTCATGTCCAACCATGCAATTGCCAAGCTGTGGAGAATGTTCTGGTAAATCAAAACTTTGGACTAGTGAATTCGTTACCTGCAAATTACTCTTCATATTTTCGGTTAGCTTTCTGCACTTGGAATCTATGGACTCAGATGCTTCTTGCAACCTCGTGCAAAACTTCTCATAAGCTTCTCTCTGAATCTTTTCATTTTTAGCCTTTAAAATTTTTTCCCACACTGATTCTATTCTATATTCTGCATCATGTGCTGCAACTTTGATGTTTCCTTCACAGCGCTTTACAACCTCATGATCATTGATGTTCTTCTCCAAACTTTCGAGAAGCGCTTGCAGTGAACCGACTTTTTTGCGAAGGGATTGAATCTGTTCTTTTACTTTTTCTTGAAGAGATTCAGTTCCCTCTTTCCCTCTTCTTGGGGAAGATTTAAACAGGATTTGGGTAGCGTTAGCAGTCCAAGAGGTGACATAAGAGAGGTCACAGCAGCATAAGCCATAGCTCTTTATCTCTTTGTTTTTCCTCTGTCACTCGCTCTTAAGCTTAGAGAGCAACGGAGATCAGTTTAGAATGATGACAAATGGAAAAAAGGTTTCAAATAGTAATAAAATAGGAAACACATGGTGGGGTCTTACTTTATGTAGTAGTATTAAATATCTACCAGCCGAAGAGATACTACTTTTGTGCCACCAAACCTAACATACACAGCGAAATTAATATATTTTCGTGATAGAGGATAAGTATATTTTCATCCTTAATTCATACGTTTCATGTTTAAACTTTGAGTATGAAATCGTCTTTATTAGGAAATATTTACTTTATTGGTGAAACAATAAATTTCTCCAATGGTGTTCCAAACTTGAAAGAAGAAAAAAGAATCTCGACAAAGGATGTTCAATATATGTTATATACCTCTAAAATCTAATATTTTATTTATATATATAATTTTTCGATGAAAGGTGGTCTGTTGCACAATGTAACTTCGCCCCAGCTTTACTTCCAATATGGCACTTTGCAATCTAATCTGAAGTTAATCAAACCTCAATATGTTGAGCTTTCTGATAATATGCGAGATTTACATGTAATCGAATATATTTTACCCCTACTTTGGTGTGTGTTTAGGTGTTTTGAAGGTTGAAAGATGACCGATTGAGCTTAATTGTTGAAGTTTGTTATGTAGGAAGCCAAGAGTGAAGATTAGAGGTGATTTGAGCGTTAATGAAGCTAAAAGACAATTTCTGAAGAAAAGGAAAATCGGACCCTGTGCGAAGCATAGCTATAGCACAAGGGCAAATTTGTCTGCGTTTTATCTTGGGGGCCAACTTAGACATTTGGCTTAGGGACGTGATATAAAAGCTTCTAACCCTTATTCCAGCTGCATTCTTGGTCTGAGAAGGCAAGGAACACCATTGTTGAAGTAAAATCGAGCCCGGAAGATCCTCAAGTTCATTCCACAAGATGAATCGAAGAGTTTTTCTCTACTTTTCTATCTTTATTTGTATGGATTTTGGTCTGACAATGGTTTATGTGTTTTCGAGTAATGGCATGAGTAGCTAAACCTTTCTTCTAGGGTTTTGACGGAATCAATTATTGGGTGAATTATTGACCATGCCTATTTATAATTAGCCATTTTTATAATCTATTTGTTCAACTACGTTTTGCTTGTTGTTAATTGAATGACCATCGATTACTGTGCCTATTTATTATGCGTTGCTTAAAAAGAATACTTGGATAAGGGTGTTGTTGAACAATGTAACTTCTAAGTAAGTTAAGAGATTAATTATTTGGATTTAAAAGTGGGATTAGAGATAACGAAGCTTTGGCACGATCTTTGTGAGTCGCTTGAATTGCTACCTAGGGTTAATTCGAGAGAATAATTCTAGAAAATTACCGTTTTTGATCGAGAGATAATTATGGTAACAGGAGAACTCACGATCAATGGAAAATAAATCAGCGTGATTATGTTGAACATGTTAAGCATTCATCCTGATAATTGAGGAAATCATAATCCTAGGCTTTTTTTCTCTTCAATTCACAAATTTCTCTTTAGTTGATAATCTTATTACTTTATTATTTTTTTAGTTAAGTAGTTTAAAACAAAAATCTTAATCTTTGTCACTCGAAAATTGTTTGAACTTGTTTTCTTAGTGATATTAAATAACTATAGTGAAGCCTTACTTCTTTGTGGGATTCAACCCTGGACTCATAAGCCATGTTATATTTGCAGCGACCACTTATCTTTTTTAGGACTAGAGTTGGGCGTAATCACTTTCGTTAGTTCTAATACTGAATAATTTGTTTTTCAAGACAAATTACTGGGTTTTTAAAACTAAAAGTTTTCTATATGTCACACCTTATCCCTATACAGAAACCTAAGTTGTGAACAAGAATAAAAAGATTCTCGACAAACATTATGTAATGGTAACAACAAATCATGCCTTAATCTTTATTATAGCACTTAATGTGTACTCATAAGATAGTATAGTTGAATTTATAACGTGGTTTATAGATACGTGAATTAATTTGTCCAAGAATATAAAATAAGCAAGAATAGAAATAAGATTATTAAAATCTTGGTTGTGGGCTAAGCATTCAAAGTATCTATATCTATATTATTATAAAAGCACGAATAATGTATGCTAAATGTTGAACGACTAAAATATCTCTCAAATATTGATCGATTTTTATACTCTTAAATATTTATATAATTTAAGGATATAACCGTAAATCACCTAAGGCTGAAACTCTTTTTCGATTTAAATTAAACTACAAATACGTTGGGTCAAATACTTTTGGTACATCTTGAACGTAGCCTACCAAGTCTGCAAAATTGATTGTCTAATACTGAAGAAATTTTATACTAAATAAAAGTGTTATATTGATTCCATTGCCTAATATTTAGAGTTCGGAATCTTCTAAGTTTTGCCATATATTTTACCCTTAATAAATTTTTTTCTTTCCTTATTATATTGGAACATATATATTCTCTCGGACCAGAATAAAACGTGTATTCTCATCTTTTTAACCTTTCAAAGATGGAAAGCACATAACTTTGAACGAATTGGCTAAGAATTTCAATTCTTTTCGGATTTAAAGTTCTTTTACGGAAGGAAATTCCAAATAGGCTCTTAAATCTTAATCAATTCCATATCGTATAGTATCAAACAAGCAAAGAAAAAAAAGTCAAAATAAGAACTGCTTTCGGAAACTGATGTGGTACAATAAATAAGTCAGATTGCATTAAACTGCTTTTAAGGTAGTTGTTAATGAGATTTGTTTCTAAATAGTAAATCAATTTTAATATTGGAGACGTATTACAATTAATCAATCTAGACATTATCATTAATGAATCTTAAAATAAGAAGAATAATTTCCATAACATGAATCATTAAGACTGAACTAAAGTGATTTTTGCATAATAAAAGAAGAAGGTATTGTTGTATCTTAACGTGATTTTACAACTTTAATCTCTAACTAGTTTCGCTTTGTCCTGTGATTGCGTCAAAACTTTATTGATGAGTATAATAAACTTTTTTTATAAGGTTAATGAGTTTATTAGACTATATGTTATATTCTGTAAAAAAAAATTATTTTAAGGAACTGGTTATTAAAATTCGTTCATATCCATGATTAATTTTATAGTATATATGCAATTAAAAGTTTTTATTTTTATTTTTGGTACGCGTTATAATATTTGACAAATAATATTCGTGCATTGCACGAATGTAGAGACTAGTAATATATAAAAATATAAATAAAATTTTGCTTTATTTGTATAATGTAACCAGACGACCTCTAAATATCATCAAATAATTCCCTTTAGGCGAATCTAAAGAATACATATTTGCTCAATGATACCAAATCCCAACCCCCTTACCAGTGAGCTACAAAATTAACCTCTTAGATTACCACCAAAAAAAAAAAAACCTGCTATTGACAAATGAGGACACAACAAAAGTCATCAAGCTAGCGTTTGACCATAGATTCCCAAATTTTTTTTTGAAAAATCTGATTTGGGTAAGTTTGATTTGAAGATGAAAATGTGTTTGGACATAAGTTTTCCAAATATATTTCACTTTTTTTTTTTGAAATAACATGAAACATGACTTGTGCCCACAAGTTCTAAAAATTATCACAAATGCCCAACAA